CCACACACACTGTTTTTATATAAGGATGCTTTTTTAAAAGGCTGTATTTATAAGTGGTTGTATGTTGCTCTTAAATAGAATATGAGTAAATTAAACCTTTAAAAATGTGTATTCTATTCTGGTTTGTTGTTTCTTTATGCAGAACATTAAAAAATGCAGGGAGGTGGGGGGGCGTCATGAAAGAATTCACATAATAAGAGTATATATTCTTTAAAAGCTTGGATAATTGCATTTGAGAATATTTTAGTCATATATATGTTTTTGGTTGAGATTCTTTGTTGTACAAACAGAAAGCCACTGCATCTTTACTGTGAACCACATTGAATTTCAACTAGTTTGTTTGTATTCAAGTCATCTTCTCTGTGTATTCCAAATTGTTGTGAACATCTTAAGGCATTAAATATTTTTTTAAAGTTCCATTTCTACTAGTATACTCTCAGTGTATAAAGATTTAATCATGCACATTATTTTTGAGGTTACTATTCAGTCTTCACCTTTGCTAATGCTTTTATTCAGTAGATATATACTGATCATTTGCCATAATACTTTATTTCAACTCGCTGTTTGTATTTTCAATGTGGGCACTTTTAGTGTATGGCTGTGTCCTAAGTATTATATGTAGCTATATGCTAATGTTATTGGGTAAATATATTGGTAAAGGAGAAAGGAAGTTAGTTACAAGTCTTCATAAATTTTGAAGTTAAATTTTTTTGAGATAGATATGCTCTCAAAAGAATAAAAATGGTGTAATTGTAATTAATGTAAAATATTACTTTGAAGTTAGATTTCTGTTAACTTTGTTCACCTATAAATAATTTTCTCAATATTGAGAATTCTTTTAGACTTGAGTATATAAAGTAGCTATCTATCTGTTGACAAAATAGAGGGCATAATGCAAACTGACTGAATTATTAGGATATTGATCATTATCTGTTTCATTATTTTAGAAATATTAGTGATCGTCTTCAGTTATTAAAATTTATGCTAAATTTTAAATTTGTAGTTGGAATTATTATTTTGTAATTTTGAAAAGCAGTATACATTTTTATAATTTGCTGGTAGTGTTTAAGCTTTATAGGGGGTTGGCTGAGTAGTATATGAGTTTTGAATTGCATTTCTGTAGAAGTTGAAGTAATGTAGCAGAAAATTTTGTTGTGAATTTCTAAAATTTTCTGCATAGCTTTGCTTGGCAAGGCTTTGGTAGTGCTAAAAATTAAACTGTTGTGTCGCTTTTCATACATTTTGAAAGTTGGAGAAAAGGGTCTTGTTAGGACGCCCTCCATGTTGAAAGATAGCATGTGCATGCACACAAACTCATTATTTGAAGCTTAAAACTAAAACCAGAGAAAAGATATTAGCATCAGTTGACACTTGTGGTGGGCATGAGAAATTATTAACGTAGTGAAATACATATAGTGCTTTTCTGCTAGAGTTCATGTATTTGCTTGTATTTATCATTAAAATAATCCCATGGAATTGAGGAAACCAAGACATAGAGAAGTTTAATGACTTGAAAAAGTCTAGGTAAATTAGTAGCGGAGCCAGTGTTAGAACTCTGCAAACTCCTCTCTACCTATAGTTGGCCTTCTCTCTTTAGAAAATTTTAAAGGTACTTGGGATTTAGTTTTGGATAATCTGGGTTTGCACATTACTTATTAGTTAGTTACATATTTGGCAAGTCAAGCATTTTCTGGGT